CCATCTCTTGACCTCGTGATCCACCTGCTTCGGCTTCCCAGAATGCTGGGATTACAGGCATGAGCCACCGTGCCCAGCCCCAACATGTGCTTCTTAAAAGTCCATTTGTGGCCTGGCTTGGTGGCTCACGCCTGTAATCCCAGCAGTTTGGGAGGCCGAGGTGGGCGGATCACCAGCGGTCAGGAGTTGGAGACCAGCCTGGCCAACATGGTGAAACCCCGTCTGTACTAAAAATACAAAAATTAGCTAGGCGTGGTGGTGGCACCTGTAATCCCAGCAATCCCAGCTACTCTGGAGGTTGAGGTGGGAGAATCCCTTAAACCCAGGAGGCAAAGGTTGCAGTGAGCCAAGATCACGCCACTGCACTCCAGCCAAGAAAAAAAAAAGTCCATTTGTTAAAGAAACTAGGTCTTCCATCCTATGACATTTCTCACATTCTGGATTTGGCTGATGACATCTTCAGTGTCTTTAAACATGTTGGTCTTCTCCCTGAACTTCCTGTGACTGGTAATTAGACACAGAGTCTTGAGTAGATTTCAGTTGCAAATATAGATGATAGACAGATAAGATGGATAGATGATAGATAGATAGATAGACAGATAGATGATAGATAGATAGATAGATAGATAGATAATAGAGTTCTTCAGGGCCCCACTGTCATAGATCAATTCCTCTTAGTTTACATACTGTCCCTTTTTCCACATTCCTAAGGCCAAGGGCTGAAACATCTGTATTTTTATTTTATTTTACTTATTTATTTATTTATTTATTTATTTTGAGATGGAGTTTCGCTCTTGTTGCCCAGGCTGGAGTGCAATGGTGCAATCTCGGCTCACTGCAACCTCCACTCACTGCAACCTCCGCCTCTCTGGTACAAGCGATTCTCCTGCCTCAGCTTTCGAAGTAGCTGGGAATACAGGTGTGCACCACCACGCCCAGCTAATTTTTGTATTATTAGTAGAGATGGAGTTTTACCATGTTGGCCAGTCTGGTCTGGAACTCCTGACCTCAGATGATCCACCCGCCTTGACCTCCCAAAGTACTGGGATTATCGGCGTGAGCCACCACGCCCGGCCAACATCTGTATTTTTAATGCAGGCCCTCTCTTCTGAGTTCCAGACCCAAATAGCCAGTGAGTGGCAGGATGTCACTGGATGTTTTTCGAACTCCTCAAATTCACTGTGTCCCAAATGGAATTGATTGTCCTTCCCAAACCTGTTTCCCATTGTTCGCTTTACCTCAGTGACTACAACTTCCATCCAAGACAGACACCTGAGCCATCCTAGGCTGGGTCATCACGTGGCCCAAGTCACCAAGCCACGGGATGTCTATTTCTTCAGTGTCTCTGGAACATGTCTGCTTTTCTGCTGCCTTAGCCTCAGTTCTAAAATTCAGTCAAAGAATGCAGACGCATTATCCAGAGTCACGTGTTCTCAAGCCCAGCAGGGACTGGACCCTAACCTCATGCTCAACTCCAGATTCAGCTCAGCTCCTGTGCTTTGAAGACATGTACCTTCTACTTCCTGTGAATGTGGTTGTTAGAACCAGATTTCAGCATGCTGGAGCAGCTAACGGCAGGGAAGTTAAGAGTCAGAATATCTGGGTTTGAAGCTCACATCCATCACTTCAAGTGAATTTGGTTATGTTGGTTAATTTCTCTGTGCTTCAGTCTCCTCATCTGCAAAATGAGAATAATATTCCTTCAACACATTTCTGAAATTCCCAAAGCTTTGAAAACTGGAAGGGTTTTTCTCATTTTAAAATGTGTTTGGCAGCACAACCTGACTTGACTTTAATGATTTGATGACAAAACCTGACCTGGATGGAATTGAGGATATTTATGGTCTGTATTTATCATACTTAGAATATTCTTCCATTTTATAGTCCAGCTATCTTGGTGGCAGGCTACCCTAGCCCATTGGGCCAAGTTCTAGAATATGCTGTTTTACTTTTCAAAAGTATGAAAATGTCTACATTTCGAAATATACGTGATCTAAGGGTTTTGGAAAACAGGTTTTGTACCTGTAATAGCTACCTCATAGGTTTGTCATAGATTGATTGCTAAAGAAATTAGTATTTGTAAAGCAATTAGAAGAGTGTGAGGCTTATAGTAAGCTCTATTTAAGTGTTTGATAAAGTAAACATTTCCTGTAACATTTAACCCTAGAAATGAAGTGAAAGATAAACTACTTTGTTAGAATAGAGTTTGATAAATTAGGGGTCTCCATCAAAGCTAGGTTACTACCATTGCTTTATTGTTCTACAGAAATTAAACATTAGACAGATAGAAAAACCCCTTTTGAGTGGTGTCTCAATCTCTCCCTACTCAGAACTAACCACTATTCTGAAGTTGGGGCGTATGTGTGTGAATCTTTTCCATTCATGTTTCTAGATTTTAGTACATATATGCGTGCATAGTGTGTATTTTTTAAAGTTATGTCTAAATGTTATCATGCCATACCTACACAACTTCCTTTTTCACCTTGACACTAGCATTTTCATACATGTAGTCTAGCTCGTTTCTCTTAAGGGCTCCTGTAGTATGCCAGGAGCCCTTACAGTTTACTTACCCACATCCTGTAGATGCACACTTAATTTGTTTCCAATTGTTTGCTATTATTATGTGGCAGTGCCCATTTTCTTGTGCACCTCCTTGTGCCCGCATGGAAGAGTGTCTCTTGGGCATACACCTGAGAGTAGGATTGCTGGATCATATGTGCCTGTTTTAACTTTGCAAGAAAAATGCCACCGTGCCCTTCAACAGGGTGGATCAACCTATACTCCCACAGCAATGTGAGTTCCCTTCTCTCTACGTCCTTGCCACACTTGGCATTTTTATTCTTTTTTTTTTTTTCTTTTGTGAGACAGCGTCTCGCCCTGTGTTGCCCAGGCTGGCACGGTCTCAGCTCACTGCAACCTTTGCCTCCTGGGTTCAAGTAATTCTCCTGCTTCAGCCTCCCAAGCAGTTGGGACTACAGGTACATGTCACCATGCCTGGCTAATTTTTTCTTGTATTTTTAGTAGAGACAGGGTTTCACCATGTTAGCCAGGCTGGTCTTGAACTCCTGGCCTTAAGCAATCCGCCCGCCTTGGCCTCTCAGAGTGCTGGGATTACAGATACGAGCCACCGTGACTGGCCAGCATTTTTATTCTTTTTAGACATTTGCCTATCTGAAGGGTATGGAAAATCACTCTTATTGTAATTAGTGGTTCTCTGGTTACCAGTGAGGTTGAACATCTTTTCTGCAATAGGCTTGTAGGTGGTCTGCCTGCCCCCATTGTGTGATATTGTGAGATAATAAAAAATATATATATTTGGTCTCTGACATAGAGCCCCTGAAACTCTTGTAGACAGAGGCACTAGGAAAGTCTTTTGTTGTAATATTTGGTCTTTGACCCTAGTTCCTGACACACAGCTCCTAAATGCTTTGGAATTTCCTGGGTGATGGCAGTCTCTTGTTCTAATGAGGTGACTCTTGGTGGGCTCTTGGACAGCTTCGGGTTGGGGGCCAGCTGCCAGGGGAACCAACCACATGATTAGAAGGTTGGAATTTTCAGGCCCACCCCCTAACCTCCAGGGAAGGGAGATGGGCTGATTGTTGAGTTGGTCACCAATGGCCAATGATTTAATCAATCATGATTATGTAATGAAGCCTTCATAAAAACCCCAGAAGAACTGGGTTTGGAGAGCCTCTGGATTGCTGAACATGTGGAGGTTCCTGAAGGGCTGTGTGCTCAGAGAGACATAGAAGCTCTGCACCCCTTTCCAAATACCTTGCCCAATGCATCTCTTCACTGTTCATCTGTATCTTTTGTACTATCCTTTAGTAAGCAGGTAAACACAAGAAGTGCGAGCCTGAGTTCTGTGAGCCTTCCTAGGAAGTTAATCGAACCCAAAGAGGAGGTCGTGGGAACCCTAACTGATAGCTGTTCAGTCAGAAGTATAGGTGACAACCTACTACTTGTGATTGGCATCTGAAGTTGGGGGCAATCCTGTGGGACTGGGCCTTTAACTTGTGGGATCTGATGCTACCTCCAGATAGATAGTGTCAGAAACGAGTTATAGGACACCCAGTTGGTGGCCCCTGGAGAAATTGCTTGATGTGTGGGGAAAAGCCCCCTGACATCTGGTGTCAGAAGTGCTCTGTGTTGAGTGTGAGAGTAGAGAAAAAGAAGTTTGTTTTTCCCATCAGACACTGGTGCCTCCATGTTCCCCTCGGTGGCAAAGGTGGCCTTGTTAAAAGGCCATGTGATCCTATCAGAGAAGATATCCAGATTCTTCTGTGACTGGTCAAAGAGCTAGAGACACTTTTTTTTTTTTTTTAAATTTTTTCACTCTGTCATCCAGGCTGGAGTGCAGTGGCACTGTCTCAGCTCACTGCAACCTCCACCTCCCGGGTTCAAGCAATTCTCCTGCCTCAGCCCCCCGAGTAGCTGGGACTATAGGGGTGCACCACCACACCTGGCTAATTTTTGTATTTTTAGCAGAGACAGGGTTTCACCATGTTGGCCAGGCTGGTCTCGAGCTCCTGACTTCAGGCGATCTGCCCACCTCGGCCTCCTAAAGTGCTGGGATACAGGTGTGAGCCACCACCCCCAGCCTGAGCTAGAGACATTTAATTAGCTCTGCATGCCCAGCTACTCTTACATACACAGGGACACAGGGAGAATAGCCGTCAGACTGTCACCAACAGACAGAAGCAAAAGTAGGATTTAGAAGAAAAAAAGGGAGGAAGAAAAAATCCTGAGGGAAGAGACTGTGGTTTAACTAACTGTGATGGAAGAAATTCAAATATTTGCTGGATAAACGAACAAACGAGTCACGTGTGCCTGTATCACAAATTATCTGAGACATGCAGGAGGAAGGATGGGCTGGCATGAGGTGTCCAGAAACCAGCGCTTCCATTCGTAGAGCTGACAGGAAAACATTTCTCTGTATTTGGAAATTTTATACTCAAGACTCCCACTGGCACTTTTCAGCAATTTTTGAAGACAGGGAATAAACGTGTCAACATTTATTGAGTATTTACCGTGTAGCCAGCACTGTTTTATAGGCACTACTCAATGTGGTCCTCACAATGACCCCACGAGAGAGTTATTAACACTCATTTCAAGGATAAAGAAGGAACCAGAAGCATTGAGAGGTGAAGCCTTAGGTCACAAAGCCAGTAGGGGTGAGACCAGCCTGGTGATTTCTTTAGGGGAGGGTATAAGAGTTCTTTGTGAAGAGAAACATTTCACTTTCAAATGCCTAAGCACCTGCAATTCCAGACTTTGGTTTGTACTTGTATCTCAGTCACAGTTATTTTATAGTTAGGCATATGAATTTAAAATGAAAGGGAGAAATACTAAAGATTTGAAATTTTAGTTACGTGTCACCTCAATGGAAAGTTAATTATCATTTTTGTCTGCAACACCTACACACAAATTATGACTCCTGTAATAAAAAGAGAGCTTAGAAAAATAAGCACCCAGGGCTGATGAAAAGAATGTCTCAGGGCAGGGGCTGAATGTGAAGCCAACTAAGAACTGTTCTTAGAGAGAAACATGTCAATACTAAATCTTTTCACCACCCTTTGATGGATGTGCTAATCTTCTCAGGTCGACATGGGCTCACCCTGGCAATGTACTGGAATAACTTATTTAAAAGGCAGCTGGCTTTTATAAATGACCTGTTCCATCAGCTTCTAGATTTCATTTTCAGAAATGTATTCCTTTATCAAATCAATATTTGCTGTATATAGTAAGAATTCAACTGTGCATTTTCTACAACAGAGGTGACTGCAGAAGTGACCAGATTTGGGAATTATTGTTTGCTGGTTTTCACTCTTTCGCCCAGGCCGGACTGCAGTGGCACGATCTCGGCTCATTGCAAGCTCCGCCTCCCGGGTTCATGCCATTCTCCTGCCTCAGCCTCCCGAATAGCTGGGACTACAGGCACCCGCCACCATGCCCGGCTAATTTTTTGTATTTTTAGTAGAGATGGGGGTTTCACCATGTTAGCCAGGATGGTGTCGATCTCCTGACCTCGTGATCTGCCCACCTCGGCCTCCCAAAGTGCTGGGATTACAGGCATGAGCCACCGCGCCTGGCCGGAATTATTGTTCTTTGCTCTCAATTCTGTATGACATCTAAGCTCTGTAGAGATAATGAGATAACAAGAATAAAAATGTCAGGCAGATGATTTTCATTCCATGAGAGCTGCAGTTGGCAAACTACCATCTGTAGACCAAATCTGGCCTGCAGCCTGTTTTTGTTTTGAGACGGTCTTGCTCTGTCTCTCGGCTGGAGTGCAGTGGCACGATCTCAGCTCACTGCAACCTCCGCCTCCCGGGTTCAAGCAATTCCCCTGCCTCAGCCTCCCAAGTAGCTGGTATTACAGGCACACACCACCATGCCCAGCTAATTTTTTGTATTTTAGTAGCGACGGGGTTTCACCATGTTGGCCAGGATGGTCTCAATCTCCTGACCTCCTGATCTGCCCACCTCGGCCTCCCAAAGTGCTGGGATTACAGGCATGAACCAATGCACCCGGCTACCTGTTTTTATAAAGTTTTATTAGAACACAGCTACACCCATTTGTTTACTTACTGTCTACAGCTGCTTTCACACTACAAAGGGAGAGCTGAGTAGTCACAACACTGACCATGTGGCCTGCAATGCCAAAGATATTCATTCTCTGGCCCTTTATAGAACATGCATCCCTCTCCACTAGAGGAAGTGGTATTTGTCTCACTACACACGTGGCTCAGTTTTAGTGGGGGCTAATGGAGCTAGAGTCGGAGAGGATATCTGGTTTTTTAAAGGCATTTGTGTAGTTCAGACAGATTAAAGACAAGAAAAGATAAAAAAGCAAAACACCAGGCAGTATCTCTAGGCAAGAACTTTAAAGAACCGAACTGTTACCAACAACATAAAAAACCAGTATAGTATATACAAAATTTTTTTATGTCAGGAGAAAATTTATCATGTTGGCAACAGAACATGTGCTGCAGACCTCCAAGCGGCTGGCATAGTACATCCACCCCGTGACAGGCCCACTGGGACTGTGGTGAACATGCCTGTGCCCCAGTACAAAGTCCCCTTTCCCTAAGAAATGTACAGAAGGAGAGATGAAGAGCATGCACCCAAAAGGAAGAGGGAGAGGCTGGGTGCCCTGTGCCCCGAGCTCAGAACTTCAGGGGGATGACCGGCCAGTACTTGGGTTGCTTTCGGTCACAGTGCTTGTCAAAGCTCAGCTGCACCGCAGCTTCCATGGCCTGGATCTTGGCAGCGCTGTCCCCGTACAAACGCTTCATCTCGGCCTGGCGCCGCTCACCAGGCCTCTCAGTTGGGGCTTCTATCGACCGGCGGGTGTTGCAGTACAGGTCGTGGTCAGCATTTACGTAGCTGTTCAGGCGCTCTGCATCCAGCTGCTGCTGCCGCCCTGAGAACAAACATGAATGTGAACATGAACATAAACACATGTGTGTGCACTGCAGAAGGAGCCTGGTGAGTGCTGCTGACCATGCTGTCTGCAGCCCCCTAAGGTCCCTCATCTTTCCCTTTCCAACTGTGAAACCAGGCCCAGTTGTTCCAGATGAGATGCCTACCAGATTCTGAGGCAAGACCTGCAGATTATTATCATCTACTTAGTTCCGAAGCTCATCATTCATCTACCAAGGGGTTATTATACACTGAGAGAAATGGCAAAGAGCTGAGTGCCTGTAGTCCCACCTACTTGCGAGGCTGAGGTGGGAGGATGGCTTGAGCCCAGGAGGTAGAGGTTGCAGTGTACCACTGTACTCCAACCTGGGTGACAAAGCCAGACTCTGTGTCAAAAAAAAAAAAAAAAAAAAAAAAAAGAAATGGTAAAGAGCCACAAGGAAACTCGTCACTCCAAACTACCAAACCTCTGCAACAACCCCTGAAAATACAGGAGAGAAATGAAACCACCGGGGGTTCTCTCTTTTCATCTGCACGGCCCACTCACCACCTGCCCAGCTAGGACTGGCTGATAGAGCTTGCTTGGTTTCACACACTGCTCCAGGCCAGCATGGAAACGAAAAGCTTCCTGGACAGTCCAGTGTTGCAAGCACTGCTTACCACCATGAATGAGGTGGTGTGGGGGAAAAAAATCACTCCTCTGGAAGAGGTATTGATTTTAGGTAACCTGGAAAAGAACAAGTGCTAGCAATAGCAACCACAGTATGCAGTGATGATGGATGATTGATGATCCTTCCACAGATTCAAAACGCAAATCATACCAAGCAAGGAAAGGTTAAATGAGTCCACACTTGCTGAAGGAAAAAGGGTGAAGAAAGGGCAATTCTACAAATGGAATTAAGCCCTCTGACTTCTAATCTTCCTGCTATATCAAAAAATCTGCAATAGTGGGTTGATTTTCTCGCTACGGGGTTTGACTTTCCACTTCACAGGTTGGCCTAGGTTAAACTGCAAGTGGTATCGTTACATACTTTTAATCCTACTAATTTAAATGGATTCTTGTAAAGCAAGAAATAGCTATTCAATTTACTCTTCCCTCTGTTTTATTACTATGGCAAGTCCCAATATCATAACTTTTATTCTTATGTAAACTGCAACAACATAAAAATATCAGTAAGACAATGCTGCATAAGGTAAAATTTAGCCAATTTCCATAGTTCTTGTAAGCGACTCTGTCAAGAGAGAAACTGATAGCAGAGAACACACATTCATGGCTACAATGGCTACCAAGAGAAATGTCATGAAATAAGGAGTGAAGATGGTTGTAGGGAAATAAAACAATCATATAACTCATTCTTCCATTGTTGGAATAGAACATGGTAGTGAGCTAATCAAGTGTGAATGGGAAGATATTTATAAGGCTATGCATAGTCGCTCGCATAAATCCTGCTCTTTATAAGCATCATCATGGCATTGGAGGAAAGGAGTTTTACAAACTTGGAAACATTATTAAAAATGTATGTGGCCACTGCTGTCTTGGAACATCCGCAGTTTATTTTTACCTAAGGGCTTGTATGAATAAGCCCAATGACTATCAAACACAATAAAAGCTGCATAACTGCTACCTCACCCATGGAAAAAATATATGATTGACTCACTGGGCAATACAGAATGAAACCAAAATATTGGCCTAATATTCAAATGAATGGAGGCCACCAAGCATTTGTTTCTAATTTTTGGTCTTTCTGCAAGTTTGAAACATCAGCATATAAGCTGTTCAGTTTTCATAGGTGTTTAAATTCTATGCCCCCTAAACTGAGTTGTGTTGGAGTGGTGTGGGAGTGGATGAGCCAAACAGTAGGTTAGAGAAAGCACTCGACAACTGCCATGACAGCTTCTTATTTCCACAAGAGTTATGTGTGTTCCTGGCACTCAGGTCAGGGTGACAGCCCCACTGGGGACTAGCTTCTCCCTGGGGGCATCTCTGTTTTTCTCCTGCCTCTGTCCTGGGATGATTGAACCTGACTCTGAAGGAAAGCTTAGCTTTGTGCTTTTAGAAGGAAGAGCGGGGGTGACCTAGGACACAGGGTCTTGGTATGGGTAGTACAGACCGGTGAGATATATTCAGTCACTAAGTTCATACAGGCCTTTCCCACTTGCCTCTTCCTACAAACCTTGAGTAGGCAGTGGGTGGGCTGATGGCACTGCCAAGGCTTTCCAGGAAAGGTAGAATTTAGTTGAAGAATCTCTCATTCAAGGGCTACTTTTCTGAAGGCTTGGCATTTCCACATTAGCACAACACAGTCCCTCTGCCATCTATGAGCAGCCTTGTACCCATTACCAATCCTTTGGCTTTTTTTTTTTTTTTTGTCTATCTGGAGGAGACGATCCCACAGGTGGCGTTGCTGACTGCCTTGGAGTCTCTGCATCCAGAGGGTAGAGCCAACAGTGAGAGTTCCCAGACCACTGTCACATTACTCTCAAATGTGTCCCAAGACTATCATCAGCTTCACTGACAGATCTGGTGACACAAGAGATGTTCAACTTCCTGCGTAAATCTGAGTCTTTGAGTGTAGAAGTTTGAACAAACACTGGGATCTCAGCTATCCTAAGTATTCTCTGCTGGTAGGATGTTGTGAGTTTAGTCTCTGTACTTTTGCATTTTTTTTTCTTTTCCTTATAATTTAAAATGTTTGTAACAATTTTATATAGAGAGATGTATTCTCTTATTGTTGACATCTGTGAATGATACACAATGTTAACACAAAGCAACCCCAGTTGAGTTAATGATGCTGGTACAATTTTCCAAGTTTGTACTCAGCGTGTGCCCATGGGTTACCATCACATGATTTTAGTTCTTAATAAAGTTCACACAGTGCAAGAATAAAAGACATAGCCCTCTGCTTTTGATTCTTGATTTGTTTTTCATTCCCATTCAGGCTTCCTCATGATTTTTTTTTTTTTTTTTTTTTTTTTTTGAGAAAGGGCCTTGCTCTGTCACTCAGGCTGGAGTGCAGTGGTGCAATCTTGGGTCACTGCAACCTCTGCCTCCTGGGCTCAAGCGATCCTCCCCTTGGCTTCCTGAGTAGCTGGGACTACAGGCGCATGCCACCATACCTGGATAATTTATATATATATAATTTTTAGAGTTGGGGTTTTGCCATGATGCCCAAACTGGTCTTGAACTCCTGAACTCAAGGGATCCACCTGCCTTGGCCTACCAAAGTGCTGAATTACAGGCGCAAAGCCACCGTGCCCAGCCCCTCATGAAAATTTAAGACCCAACCCTTATCCCCTCCTTGCCTCTCAAGAGATTTGGAGGTTTAATGGTTTTCTGCATAGTGAACAGTGGCCCTAAAACACTGAACTAAAGGGCAAGAAGCCTGTCACCTGTGACCTACCCTGTGGGGGGTCATTTATGGTGGAAGGGCACTGTCACCTTTACTCACAGCTGTACCCCCAGCCCTGGGAGGACACAATGCCTGACACAAAGCAGGTGCTCAAGAAGTGACTGTGGAATGAATGCTCAAAGACCATGCATGATTTTTTGTAAACAGCTCTTTTCCTTCCAGATGTTGTTAAAGAACAATGATGACAGCCTGGGGACTGAGAAACAGATGCTCAAATCTCACAAGGTGCTGGGCAGAACTCCCTTCCCTGTGGGTTCCTCAGAGCCTCCCAGGCACAGGGGCTAGAGGGGAGGGGCACCAATGAGTTGGGGTCGGACCCTGTTCTCTTACATTCGAGTTGCTTTGCCTCTACTTACTCACACAATTTTTAAAAAAGCTCTAAGGCTAGGCTATAAGTTGAAAACCAGTCAGTTTAAAACCAAATACCCGCAGACAGGCTGTGCACTGATGGTCACAGCCAGCATGTGAAAGTACTTTAGCGTGTACTTACTTAGGGGACCAAGTAAACCTCAGAATGGAGTATCAGAGTTTGAAGGTATCCACTCATTCTGTTTTCTATTTATTGCTTCCTTCCTTTCTTCCAATGAAAAAAAGGACTCTCAATCACTGGCAGTTTTCCTTGCTGTCAAAACAAGGTGAGGGCTCAAGTCAGCCAGATGGAAAACCATCTGACCAAAGCAGAGCAGTATGGACAATCACACTTCAGATGCCACCGAACAGCTGCCTTGTCATGGAGGGTTTGGTCGTTTTTATTGGAAACAGCTGTAGGACTCAATGTCACCATACACTTTTATAGGGTATTTTGGCAAGATAATTTGTTTTAATATGAATCAGAAACCTTTTTGATTCTATTCCAGCTTCAAAATAGGATTGTAGTGACTTGAATAGTGTCACCCCAAATCCATGTCCACCTGGAACCACAGAATGTGACCTTATTTGGAAATAGGGCTTTGTAGATGTAATGAAAGGATCAAGATGAGATCATACTGGATTAGGGTGGACCCTAACTCCAATGACAAAGTCCTTGTATGAGACAGAAAAGGACACAGAGACACAGGGGTAAGGCCATGTGAAGATGGAGGCAGAGATGGAATGATGCTGCCACAAGCCAAGGAATGCCAGGAGACACCAGAAGTTGGAAGAGGTGAGGCACTACAGCCTTCAGAGGGCATGTGGTCCTTTTGATTTGAGAACTGTGAGAGTAAATGTTTTTTTAAAAAATCCACCCAGGTTGTGTTAATTTGTCACAGCAGCCCTGGGAGGCTAATACAAGGGTTAATATGCATATAGGTTAAAACAAGAACAATAGTCATATATTATTAAGGAAGAACTTTACTGGATTCCATCTGGGTTCAGGATACATAATCCTGGTATTTTTCACATCAATCTATTTGTCTACATGATGTGACCAATGTCACATCACATAATAGTCCATAAAGGAAAAAAAAAATCACGGAAAGTTACCAGGACTTCAGAGAATCTTATATAGCAGGAAAACATTCATCCAAGATTATCCCACACATAGAGCCCAAAGGCAGAACATGTTAGAGGATAAAGCATGGAGGCAGCAAGTGGCAAAGAATGTTTTTTT